CCACAAGTTTCGGCTCCAACATCATCTCGCAAAAAAGCCTCGATAAACCTCTTCAGCCGGCATTCTCTGCACTCAAGCAATTCCAACTCGAAAGTGTTAGACATTGGAGAATGTTTTTTTGGGGGCTCACAAGGAATCCGGGCTGTCGGTTTGCGGTTTAAGTTTGGGGAGTCGGGTTTGGGGTTTCGGGTTTTGGGGTTTATATAGGGTTTATGGGTTTAAAATTAGTTTTGGGTTTTAGGGCTTAGTGAGGGTTGAGGGTTTTTGTGAAATACTGCTTTAAAGGCAAGACACACTCGCAGGTAGATCTCGCAAGTAACACAAAGCTCCCCATCGCATGTAAAGCTGCACAAGGAAAATCTCGCAAGTAACACAAAGCTCCCCATCGCATGTAAAGGTGCACACAAGGAAAATCTCGCAAGTAATATACAAAGCTCCCCATCGCATGTAAAGGTGCACACAAGGAAAATCTCGCAAGTAATATACAAAGCTCCTCACATCGCATGTAAAAGGAAACACTCGCACAGGTAAAAAGCAGAACTCATCGCAAGTACATATACAAAAATCACCGTCGCAAGTAAACCTGCTTTGAGGCTTTAGGCTATTGGTGGTTTCGGGGTTACAAAGGCTTATATATACAGTATATGATAGGGATCAAATACATATATCACACAGAACAGGAAGCACTCAACCTCACACACACACACAAATGCAAGAAACATTTTTTCTCGCAGTCATTGCCCCTCTGCTGCCGGAAGGTTCACCCTTTTTGTGCTTCTCACTAAAAGGGCCAAAGATGCATTATGCTAATGGCATTGTGGCAGATGTAGTGCTCTACATGTAAACGAAAGACATATAGAAACACACCGTGACTAGCACCCATGGGTTTTCTCAGAGTTGTGGGAAAACAAACCACGTTTATATACAACATATATATGCTTGAAACTCAGATTGTTATATAGTCTACAAAGTTCAGAAAACCCAGGGTGCACATCACATCCCGCACTGAACACATTTTGGTTTTCAAACCCCCAGCGACTTCATGACGTCCTTTCGCAGCTTGTAGAGCTCCAAGAGCGGGATGCCCTGCTCGACGTAGGGAATCATCTTCTCGATCACCTCATGATGCTTCGGACAGCAACTGGAAATGATGCTCCTCAGCTTGCCGCCGTTATCGTAGTTGCGGATGTAGGATTTCTCAGAGTAGAACTCTACCTTGCAAGATCCGTACTTTTCGGCGGACAGCCATTTGTTAGACGGCGAAGTCGCCGCCGCCGGCTTCGGCTTCGCCGCCAGCTTCGCCACCTTCGTCTTCGCCGCCGACTTCGCCTTCGCTGTGGCTTTGGGCTTGGGGCTCTTCTCTTTCGGCTTGCCGGTGGCTTTGGGCTTCGAAGCACCCTTCTTTTTGGCCACAGCCACAGACACCGGCGGCATGAAAGCCATGGCATTTTTGAGGATGTCCAAGTCGCACTCATCCGTGGAAGAGATCACTTCCACATCCTTGGCCGGCTCAGCCCCGGCACCAGTCTTGATCTTTGCCTTTCCTGCCTTTTTGTTCTTTGCCTTTGTGGCCTTCTTCTTCAGGGTGCCCTTCTTCATAACGATCTTCTTCGGCTTGCTGCTCTTATGGATGTGCACAAACTTCTCCGCAAACTTCTTCGGCTCGCTGCTCTTCAAGGTGTCCGGAAACTTGGTCGGGCTGCTGTTCTTAAAGATTTCCGGCAACTCCGGGAACTCAACATCCTGCAAAGGAGTAAGCTTCTCGTCACCACGAAAAGGAACAGGCTTCTCATCCTCGTTCACGGGAACAAGGGCCGTGCTGGGGGAATCAAGAGGCTTCGGGGCAAACTCCTGCACCTGCACCCTTTCCAGGCAAAGGTCAAGCTTCCTGATTGTATGTTTCCACAGACTTATAGGTAAAAAAAAGTTTGCAACACTTCTTTGTTCCGTCACACGAATTATATATACAGCGAAAAAACACGAAAAACATATATGTGCAGCCACTGCACACTTGATCCTCGTGCGACAGGGACCTGTAGACTTTCCGCTTGAAGCTCTCCTTCTGCTTCATCGCACGGAGGTGGCTAAGAAGAAGACGGATGGCGGTGTCCATCTTGTCCACAAGGTCCTCTGCCTTGTAGTCTTTGTGGCCTTCGAGCAGCAGGTTCTTTTGCTCGTGAAGGATCCAAAAGCTTCGGGTAACCCGCTGCGACAACAACTTCGTGTTCGGGGCGAGGCGAAGAAGGTCAAACAGCAGCCCAGCTGTCTTTGCCAACCACGGACCGTGGGCGGCAGTGTGCCAAGTGTAGCTTATTGGCCCGCCCGGAGGGGGGCACAGTAAAGGCCACAGGTCCTTCGTCTTCTTGAACTCGAGAAAGCCAAACACCACATTCGCCAGCTCCTTTGCTGTAATAAGCGGATCGGCAACCACTCGGTCCTTGGCATTTTTGCCCGTTGCAGCGGAAGCGCCGTCCGCCAGCTTGACCGAAGCTGCAGCTGCTAAGGAAGCCATGCTCGCAAGACTGTATATACTGTGTATGTATAGGATTTATGATTTCTCAAAAAAATGGAATGCATTTGTCTCTGTCTCCATCCAGCCTCGCACTTACCTCTGGGTCTCGTCTGGACCAAACACACAGCTGCAACGTCCGAAAATTTTTCTCACTCTCGGATCTCAGAAAAGTATATATATATATATATATATAAGTAGATCTCTCGCATGTAACCTACAAGAGTCTCGCACAGGTAAAGGTGGACTCCTCGCAGGTATAAACTATATTGTGATGACTCTCGCAAATGTACATGTACCGATTTCTCGCATGTAAAAAGCACACATCGCAAGCAATCCGCCGGCTCGACCCAGCACAGAATCAAACCGAGCTGCGATTTCAACATGGAAAACCATGGCTTAACAAGTATGCTTGCAACACAATTCTCATAATTTTATCTTCACACCTGACCATGCCGCACTGTACAGTCGCAGGAAAATCTCATGCAATCAACAAGCAGAACCATGATAAAAGAAACAAAACCAACCAAAATTAGCTTGCATTTCACTTCTTCAAATTCGGGAATGTGCAACCTAAAAACATGTATTTTGCAGTGTAAAAAAATTACATTGCAGTGTAAATTTTTTACTATACAAAGTAAATTAATTTACACTTTTTTTTACGTAAATTTTTTCGTAAATTTGAAGTGTAAACCAAGCTTTGTTTAGTAAATTGCTCGCCACCTAAAATTAGGTAAACAGCAGGGTCAGGGTGGTGTGCGCCTCCAGGTCCACCGTGCCACCACGCCGAATGAGGACCGGGCGGAGGCATCTGCCGCCGGGGCTTTGGCAGACGCCCTCAAAGCCGGGACATGGCCGTCCACACCAGCCCACACACCAGACCTCGCCGGCCAGCCGCTCGGGGATGCGACCGCCGCGATGGTTTGGAACCAGCGAGCGGACTATGTAATCCGCTGCGCCGGGAGACGTGGGCACCACGGCCGTGGCTGCACCGCCGCCAAGCCGCGCCCGATCTTCGAGCTCATCGAGGGCCTCCACCGAGGCGACGATGGAGGCCATCATCGCCGCCGGGACCGGGACGTCCGAGGAGGCGCCGGGCTGGTTGATCCGCCGAATGTGGTTCTGCCACTCGACGGAGCAGAGCCTGAAGCGAATGTCAACCAGCCGCCGAAAGAGCTCATCATTGTGGCGGCGCTCTGCTTCCGACGCCCCCCGGCCAGGACGCCGCGGCAACTCCGGGAAGCCCTCCCCCGTGGTCCGGTTGACCGTGTAGGTGACGCCGCGGATCTCCATGCGGACGAAGCCGGGGGGGACGGGCGCCTGGGCAGCAGGGCCTGCTGAAGCCGGCTGTGCCGGGGTCCCCGCCGCGATCTCTGCCGCAATCTGGTTCTGCAGCGCCGTCATCTCCGCTGAGTTGGGGGCCGGCGTCTTGGCCACCGGTGCCGGCTTCGCCGGCGGGAAAGATGACTGCTTCGCGGAGGCCGCCGCCCAGGCCGCTTAGAACTCCGCCGCGGTGACAAAGTTCAGCTCCCTGGCCTGCCGGGCATCCGCCTCCGAGTTGAAGCCCTCGGAGGCCCACAGGGCGACAGGCGGGCCCTTCGGCTTTGGCTTAGCCGGGCCGCCGTCGCCGGGGACGGCTGCTGACCATCGCCGCTTCCCGCCGGCACCGGTGGAGGCCGCTTCTGCATCGGTGGCACCGGCCAGGGTGCCGGGTAGCCGGGCGCCTGCGCAGCAGCAGGCGGCTCCGGGTTTGGCTCCGGGATGGCTTGCCCCGCTGCGGCAGACGCCGCCACATCGTTCGAGCCGGAGGCACCAGTGCCGCCGGGAGCACCATCATTCGACCCGGATGCGCCACCAGTGCCGGGACCATCAGCAGGTGGGGCTGCCTTAGGCAGCGCCGGGTTTGCCGCTGTCCGGCTCGGTAAGGACGCCTGCAGCATGAGCATCAAGGACCGCCGGGCGCCTGCCGGGCACTGCTGGAGATAGGGGCCCAGGTCCTCCCCTTCATCCAGCGCCGCCAGGATCACCACGAAGGCAGCCTCGATGTCCGCCGGTGAGAAAGGCTCAACCGGGGGGATGCTACAGAACGCCTGATCGCCGAAAAAGCGATGTCGAGCCGGGACAGCTGCCGGCACGACGAATCGCTCATGTCCATACGCACACACGTGTGCTACACTACAAGCACGCTGCGGAAGTACCATCTGTGGCGGCAGAAACACTCTACTTCAGCTAAGGCTATCTCTCGTAGCGACTATCTGCCGGCGAGCACATTGACCATTGCGCTGAAGAGTTCTCTGGGTTACGATGGTCTTCATTTTTTGAAACTTGTTTTTGGGACCATGCATTTGTGGATTTCGCCCGGGATTTCCTTGCCTGTATCTTCGCTTGCCGTCGAAACAGGACCGACAAACCGGCGGCGGGGAGATGGGAAAACCGAAAAGGGACACGACGGCAGCGACGACACGTTTTCTACGGCAGCAAAACGTCGCGCCTCGGACGTGGAAAAGCACGTTTCTGTGAAGACCTGCCACAGCTTGGACCCAAGAGCCTCTACCAACTGTCGGCCTGCGGCCCTTCGTGCCTGCTGGAGTAGAGTTCGGATTTCGTCAGGGCCGCCCGCCAACCTCTGCGAGTCAGCAGAGGAGTCCAGGAGCTGCAGCTGCCAAAGCAAGTTGTCAGCGAGACTTTCTTTTGTAACTTTGCCGTGCAGTCTGCGGTCTGCCGCACAGCCTTAAACAATCTCCACGTCCTGTGCCACGCTTGTGCCGCTGCCTTTCATCCACAGTCGCCATCTCGAGCGAAGCCATGCGTTCGCCGCAAAGTAGTCCATCTTGGAGACGTTCGGCATCGGAATGTTTAGCATGTCAGCAAGAAGGCGGATATTTCGCTGCTGCTTCAAATTAGCATGCGCAAGGCCCCTGCACTGGGCCTCTGCCTGACCGTGCCAGGAGCTGCAGTGCTGTGGAGTCGCGGCGATCGTGTCTACAGGAACTCTGGGTGGCGGCGGCGTCCACGGACTAGCAGGAAGAGGGGCGTCTGGAAGATGCAGGGGCGTGTCAGATCTCGGGACCTCTAAGAGCAACTCGTCAAAGCTGCCCGCCCAAGCATCCCGCTGTGTCAGAAAGAAAGACAAATTGAACAAGTTCTTGATAGTGGCCGGCACGGAGGTCAGCTCAAACTGGGATGTATTTGTGGGGCCGCGCTCGGGCTCCTGGTAGACGGCTCCTTTGGCCTCGGATGCCCGGTCTTCGACCCGTCAACTCTACTCATTTTACTGCTTCATTTGGGGCCTTGGCACATTATTGAATCTGTTATTGCATATGCAGCCAGCGCGCAACCCAAGGCGAAATCAGCATAGCCGTGGTACGGAGTCCCAATCGACGAAAGTCAAATTCGGGACCACAGTCAGGATGCGCACCTGGGATCACACAGGATGAGTTGTCAGCCGGAACCCCTTCGGAGGGAGGGACCACGTGATCGTAGTAGCCTCCTGCATCATCGTATGCCACAAATAGCAGGGTCCGATTCCAGCCAGGGCCAGAACGTACGGCCTCGTATACGTCCTTCAAGAGCCGTTCACCCTTGGCGATGTCGTGGCAAGGATGGTCACATGCCTGGATAGGTGGCAGCACCCACGACAGGGCGGGCAAAGATCCGTTGGCAGCTTGCTGGTAAAAAATCTCTTGGCTCATGAAGCGATCTTTGTGCCGTGCAACTCCAATCATCGCAACATCGGGTGTGGAAATGGCTGAGCCGGCGTCGGGATCGTGTGGATCTTCGCCATGGCAAGGCTTTCCATCCAAGCCGCAAGTGCTATTCATGAAGAAACTGAAGCTGACATTGTGCAAGCGCAAAGAATCATAAATTGTTGGTTGCGGGAAATATGTGCCGTTTCCTCCGCACTGCTTCCACAGCACATTGGAAGTCATGCCGCAACTGGTCGCCGACTGCGTGAACAGGTGGTTCGGACTACTTGCCGAAGGCACGGCTGTGAAAAGCTTATTGAAAACCCCGAAATTCCGCGCAATCGCTGCCTTGACCGGCACCTGCTCTGGCGCGAACATCGTGACAGCTGTGCCATTCTCCGCAGCTCCCCACCAAGCAGAGTAGCTGTCGCTTTGTTGCGAGTATGGGTACTTGTGCGGATTGCCGTCTTTGGCAAACTTACCATTGAAGGTTGCATAGCTTGGTCCCTGTGTGCAAACGTACGGTGCAGCTCCACATGTGATATTGATGAAGCCTTTGGATGGATCCGCAGGATCCGCTGGAATGCGATGACCTCTGATACCATCAAACCCTGGAAGGTCCATACAGCCGAAGAAGTTGTCTGCAGCATGGTTTTCCATGTACAGTACCTGGGTAGATAGGCACAAAGCACGTGCAGGGACAGCCAGATTCCACCCAGGCCCATGAATTACAAAGTCAATCTGCAGGTCGATCGCAGAGACACATCTGCACAGCAGCAGCAGCAGCAAACACAATCATGCAGAGTTCCATGTCGTTGCTTCTCTAATGCAGTCTCGGAGCCACGACATGGTCGATCTTGCTCTGTCGCTGAGGTGGACTTCGCCGTGGCAGCTCGGCACTCTTGGCCGGGATGAAGCGCCGGACATCCTCCCCAGCAGCCGTGGCCCAGTCCCGTCCCCCGTCCCTGTCTCCCGTCCCCCGGCAAAAGGCGGTGCCCTCTGGCCTCCAAGAGCGCCTGCAGCGACGCATCGCAAGCAGAAGTCGGAAGGATGGCGAAGAAGAGGACGACGGCCAAGTGCGGCCGCATGGCGGCGCGGCGCACCCGCGCAGTGCTCTCTCAGAATTTTTTTTGGCTAACCCAGGGGCCTGCGGAGGGGTTGGAGGAAGACGGACGGCACATGTCACATGATGTGTTCGTTCATGCCACATCCTTTCAAAACGGCACTTCGACGGCCTCCTGTCCAGAAGATTCCCGATCTCCAATTGACCTTGGCATGACTTCTCAAGAGAACAAGCACTGAGATTGATGCAAGCAGAACTCTGGATGGTGAAAGATCCTGAGCACACATAAAACAATACAAACTAGCAGATATCGAATGTCACGATTTCGGCACAGGAGCGAGCAGTTGTGTTGCCGTGATTGGAGCTAGAAATACTCAAAAGCTTTGGGAGACAAGTTGTTTTCTGCGGTGCAGAGCGATGCCCTGTCAGATAAGGCTCTGCAACCCTCTACAGTCCAGCTGGTTGAAGCCGTGCTGTGCACAAGCGGTACCGGACAGATGCCGAGGGGCCCCAGTCGGTGGTTCTGAGAGAGTGAGCGTTGCGGTACCGGATAGCCTCCACCAAGACCTGCAGTCAACTCTCTGCTTCACACACAGGTGCCGTTGCTTGCACTGTACACACAAACAAAACGGCATGAGCAGAAGTTGGAACCATCCTCAGGTGCGTGCCAAAGCAGTTGGAATTAAGCCATCACCTTCGAGTGCAGCGCAGACCCGGGACGTTTTAAAATTCCACCGACCAAAGAGTCAAACGTGGCTGATCAAGGTGCTATTTTGTGGTGCTGTGAGTGCAGGTGCCTTGAGGCAACGTGCTTTTTGTTGCCACTAGCTCCAGCAAATGCTGCGTGCACCTAAGCAGCCAGGCAGCTCAGGTTCTGCCGTTCAGCACTTCTGCTTGAAGTGAGTGCAACAGGCACCAAACAATGGGCCTAAGCACACGGCAGCTTGACCTCAAGCTGTGATGTGGCAGTTCTGCTCATGCAGTGCGTTGCACAATGCTGCATGCGCTTCAACCGCTGCCATCAGAGAATCGGTTCAGGATCGGGCCAACAGCTCGTAGCACGACTCTCTTGCAACGATCGAAACGCGCATCCATGCCTGAGCCCCGCAGCTCAAGCACACTGGACAAGATGTCAACTTGACGATGACAATGTCGGTGAGCGAGCGTGAGCATGACTGTCATGGCCGCTGCCGCTGACAGTAGCGGTGGTGGCGACGGGGAAGCAACGCAGACACAGATACACACACACACACACACAAACACACTCAGACAGCGACACACACACACACACATACGCACAGAAACACACACACACACAGGCAAGCAATTATGCAAAGGAGCGCATCCATTCGTGTCATCAGTGTGTTCGCGGTCCACCTTGAGAGTTCCTATATTTTCGGTAAACGAACAGTACGCCGTAGGGAACCCCGCGGGACCACGCAATAATGCTACAGCGAAGACTTCAGACTCCGCAGTTGCTCATTTGCTCTGTCCATTAGTTGATTGCGGCTGTTCGGTCACTGACGCGTCGCCGCCATTCTCCGATTCCGCCTGCAATCGTGGATTCCGGCGTCTCGTTCTGCAACTCGGCCTCGATTCTGTTTTCCAACGTGCGCACATGCCGTCACACCAACATAATGACATACCTACGTGCTTTTTTAGCACTCGCGCTCGGCAATGCAGGCGAGGTTTGAGGGTGAGCCTAGATTTCTGGGAATGGAGCACGTTGGCTCTAGGCACACTTACGCTGTTGTACGTTGAATTCCTGTGTTCCTTCTTGCTCTTTGCAGCCAGTCTATGTGGTTGTCTACAGACTCAAACCAAGCAGCCAGACTCGATGCCTCAGACTTGCCACAAAGATCCGCGTCTGCAGCATCCATGCACAAACCTCTGAGCTCATACTTATCCAGAATCCAGCCAGACATAGGCAACGAACGAAGTTGTGCCTTTCTCGTCAAAGCCGAGAGCAGAGATTCCGTTTTGCACTTTCGACGTCCTCATTCCACTCCAGACTTGAGCAGGTCTGTGCTCGTCTCACCGTATTTGACAGCTTATTCATTTCAGCACTCTCGTCCACGCAAAACAAAGCATCCAATTCAGCCATACGGGCAGTGACTGTCCAGACACAAAAACCAAATCGCCAGGTTTGTTTATCTTGTACTCCTGACGCTGTAGCCCGTACAGGTTGTGTGAGCACCAGACTCATGATGCGGTTGATGAAATGGCACACGATCTGCAATCACAGCGCCATCGGCAATACGCCGAAGTAGCAACCTGTCTCCGTCACACATTGTACTGTCTGAAACAAAGGAAGCTCACGCTGCTCGAGAGTGCTCCTAAATCAGCTCATAGCCCACCTGTGGCACAGAGTTAGCATACCTACATGCTTACATACCTACATATAGCATGCAGACCATCCAATGCATGTTATGGCAGCAATGGGCACCAGGCTGTACTCGACCAGAGCAATGCCAAATCCTGTAACTCCGACGGAGAGATTAACTGACTCAACACCACAGGACACAGGAAATGCACACAGTACATCCTATAACGCGTATCGGGCATGGTATGCAGGCTCAGGCTGCAAAGAATCGGTTTGCATAACCTTTGACTGTCACAATGCTGCGCTGTGGTAAGACAATCAGAGCGGCGTTGATGAGGTGCCCTGGATGTCAACAGACAGGTCTTGGAGCATCGCTATGACGAAGAGCTCGGCGGCGTGTGCTGACCTGCCTGATTTGCATTGACAAGGCCAAAACCCAACGAGTCTTGAAGCTCAGCGTCGAAAGCTCGCTGATCCAATCTTCCTGTCTCTCTGCTGCCGTTGCAGGCCAGCCCGCCTACCAATGGGTGCTGCGGAAGCAACAGGGCCTCAGCCCAACACACCACTACGCTTGCAACATCGTGCAGCCTCTGCCTGCTTCGACGATGCTGGGCCTGAGGCACTGGAAGTTATTGCGGCAGCACCGTGACCTCCAGAAGCGACCACTACATGGACCCTTGCAAAGTGTAGCTCTGCGACTCGCTGTCAGCTGCCAGCCGACGCTATGGTCGATGCACAAGTCAAACGAGGGTCGAACGAACGACCAGTACATCAAAGATCTCTCGAAGGAAGTGGCAACCTGGCGAGTCACGAAATGTCGCAAGCTCTGTTCCATCCGCGTAGAGACATGTGCTGACCGCTGGTCCCAAGTGGAGCCTGCACTCGCCGTGCTTGCCCCACCGGCCCCGCTTGCCTGTCACAAAGCAACAGGGTAGAACCGCAATTGAACCAGTCAGGTCTGAGGGGATGGCTTGCGGCAACCTCGAAGCACACAAGAAGAAGAAGGACCTGGTCTCGCGGTTATGTTCATTCCTCGCCCCTTCAGCTCAATCACAATCACCAGTGTAAGATCTTTGCATCTTCTGATACAGAAGATAAACAGATCCCGCAAAATGTGTCTAAGGACAACACAATCCCCGCGCAGCCAGGTTTGCAATACACATCTGACAGGCGCCGGTAGATGCAAATTCATGTGAATGTGGAGCTTGCCCCTCACGTGCCTGCAAAGCAATTGGCCAGGCCTAAGCAGGAAACTATTTCCCAGCGTGAGTGTATGCTAAAGAAATACGAGAATCTTCAGACAGCAGACAGGAAGCTCGCTGCTCCACGATGCAGTGGTTGACCAATCGGTGAGTGATGGGGGGGACACACATCGGGGTGACACTTGTGTGTGGCACTGCAGGTACCTGCCGGTGTGTGTGTGTGTGATCGATCGCCCATGTGAGGAATCAAGGCTCTGTATCAGGACAAGCCAGTCTGGAAGGAGATGTATGAGAGAGCCCCACATCAGCTCCCTGATATCCGTCGACTGCTACAAATGGCCACAAGACTTGCCGTTGCTTGGTTTTGTCTTGGTTTTGGTGTGTAGAAATACCCACGACACTGGAGAGATGGTGGGAGATGTTTCGGAAAGATTCCGGGCAATCAAATCTGTGAAAGCTCTACCCTAGTCTCGATCGGTGGCAAGCATGACAAAACTCCGTTTTCTGCAGGTACACAACCCGGCACAACCCCCTCCCTCACACCCAGGCCCCAGGTTTCGAGCCGTGGCTTCCAAGCCTTCTAAGCGTTGCTGTTTGATCAGGGCCGTCCCTCAACACCCCCACAAGCGAATCAGTCCTTTGAGTCAGTTCGTCAGCTGTTGATTTCAGCTACCACATCACGACCACTTCCACAACTGCCACTGCAAACGCCTCTACCACTAACTACTGCTGCCAGCACCCTCGCCACCACTGCATCCTCCGCACTTCGCAGCAAACTCACGTGCTGACTAAAAATAACACCACCCTAGTTTGCAGGGCGATCTCGGACCTTGCCAGCCGCAACTCAACCTGGGAGGTGGTCCGGGCTGGGGGCTTTCAGAGATGACGTCCGAAGGTTTTTTGTCGGCATGCGTGCCGGGTGGCAATCCCGGCATTCGAGCGCCCGCAGGTGAACCCTAAGGACCCTCCTTAAGGACCGGTCGTGGGCCGGACCTACAACACAGGACTATTTCCCAGATCTCACATGTACACTGCTCAGTAGCACCTTGTTCTCATGACAAATCTACGCTGAATGATCTTCACTTGAGGTCACGCGGCGCAGGTCCGATGGCGTGATGGTCTTGGAGTAGCTAACGAGCCACATGTGATTTGCTAAACACAAGCTCCAACCCAGCTCGAACGAGATTCAAACCATACCATGACAAGAACCCGGATGGCGAAGTTGGAAGGTCATCGAAAGCGAAGAAATCAAGAAGCTATGCTGGCTGCGCACACAGCACAATGCCGGAAAACAGGGCAAGGAAGGAAGTTGACGCAGCGAGATTGCCACGTGTGAGGGGTCACCCGGCGGGCACTCCGAACAGCCGCATGAACTGCTGGCGCTCACCCTACTCGTAAAAGAAGAGGGAGTTCGGCAGCTTCCTTTCCGCACCCCTCGCAAGATCACAAACCTTAGGACCACCTCTGCGGTCCTTGAAAACGGGGACAGGCGAGGAAGGAACCCACGCCATGCCCAGACGACGACCAAACTACTGAAAACATGTCAGGTGACAGCTGGCTTCTTTAGCCCTGTGTGCTGCAAGAATAGGTAACGGGCAAGGCTCTGGAAGGCAAGTCTTCTGCGTTCGTCGTAGCTGCACCTGAGCCGTAGTGCTGCAGTCCATCACTGAGGTCATAATGACAGGTCATGGCCGGTGCTTTCGGTGGTAGCCTATCTGCAGATAGAAGATCACGGAGACATATAATATAAGTCCGCAACAAAAGCGATGCTTGCGAACGGGGCGATGCATGCAGCGACGCGTGCCAGTCTCTCTGCGTCTAGACTGCACTCTTGAGAGGCGAACTTGCACACGGGCTTGAAAAGAGCCGCGTCCTGTAAACATCGCCCCCAGAGCTGCCGTGGTGGACTGTGCCATCTTTGCAGGATCACAAGATATCGCAAGAGCCACAAAACGCGGCCGAGCTGCGGAAGCGGCGTCCTCGCTGAAGGAGGCCTCACCTGAGTCAGAGTTGCGGAGGTGAGGAGGAACCTGCATTGAAGCCCGAGGCCCGCTCACAAATCTTCCATCACCCATGCTGCGATGACCTCGGCCGATAAACTTGTCTGCTCTGCTGACGTGAAGAAGGCCGTCCGTGTCTTGTGTGGCCTGGGAAAGTCGGGTGCCTGGCCGATGCCAGCTTGAGGGCACACTGCTCGCATCTCGAAGCACCTTCGCAGGACTAATGGCATGGCAACACCGCCTGCAACATGCTGTGCGACCTGCGTTGTCTCGCATGATCTGAGTGTTGCGCCCGTGTCTGAAGTTGGCTGTGTGTCCGGCACGACCTTCCAACATCTCTACAATCAAGCATCATGTCTCAGCTGCTGAGGTACATGCGCAGACTACATTGCTGCGCCCTTTTTCGCCGGAGACAGGTCTGCTTCGCTTAAGAATTGCATCCCTCTCAGCCCACATGAGAAACGCCGACCAACCAAACACAATCATGCTCCCATTATGCTACACAACTCCACCCATACCAGAAACTCAAAACTAAGTATCATATGGAACACGACAACCACAAAGGAAGGAAGACGTGCTGGGCTTGTTCTTCTCCTCTCGCCAGGTTTCAAACCTCGGCCTAGTTTCGGGTGAGGCTCTTCGGCTCTTGGGCTTTTCAGCCAGTCAAGCCAGTCTCTCTCGCGTGCCGCTGCACAAGCCGCCTCGGCTCTTTTCAGTCTGCCTTCTTCAGAAAGACGAACTCTTGCAAGAAGCAGCCCGCAGCAGTCCCAGCCAGGAGCATCAGCACACCGATGCCTACGGAAGCATTTCCGCCTCGGGCACGAAGCAGCTCCAAGCACAGAACTGTCTGACTCCAACATATGGGGCTCTTCCTCTTGCGAGTCGACACAATCATGCCCAAGCCCATGAGTATGAACCAGCAGCCTGCCCGCAAGCTCAGCTCAGAGCCACCCTTGCCAAGAGCGTTTGCTACTATTGACCATCGTGGCAAGAGAAGGGCACCGCCCACAAACTCAAGCACCCCAACGATCTGAGAAAGGTCGTGGCGAAGGAAGCCGGCAGCCTTCAAGGCTCCGACACCTGCCATGAAAAGTAGAAGCCACCAGTGCAAATAGGCTTGTCTCTTCTCCCACGTCGGAGGCCATGGCGGTGGGGATGGGAAAGGCAAGTCGGAAACGGACATGGCTATCGAGTTCTGGGAACTCCGCGATTGCTGATGCAGGACTTGAGGACACCAAAGCCAGATACCCACACATTGGACATCATGGACTCAAGGACGCGCTGGTAGGCAGTCGGCAAGAAGGAAGGGACACCTGTTTTCCTGGACTTGCAAACGCAGCCGCCATACTGAAACAGAAGATATCACATGATACTCTGCTGTCACCTGACGTACTCCATCGTACTCCTGCAAAGCACCTTCAAGACGGCCATGGCAGCGCGAAGCCTTGGTACCTCTACTGGGTGCATCACACACACACACACAGCACCAAGATACTGTCTAAATTTTCCGGGGCTCACCAGCAGCTCTTCCCGCTGCGCGGCGCGCCCGCGCAAGCAAGCCTGTCGGCGACCGCTTATTGGCGCCGTCCCTCCCTTGCGCGATCGCAGAAGGCATCCTGGCGCCTCCAGCAGCTGCTCCGAACACTCCTGGCTGAGATGCGGCCTCGGAAAGATCGAGGCCAAGGAAAACACAGAGCAGTGCTCCGAGTAAAGCATGGCTCAGACGCCTTGAGAGCTTTAGAGATGCTTCAATGCAGCGACGGGGTCTCAGGGAGAGCTTCAGCACGCGATGGCTCGAGGCTCGATGTGAAACATTCTGGGCTCTCCCACATCTCTGCCGAGTCCCTTGCTGCCTGCGCAAGCCAAAACTCACGCCGCACCAACAAGGAGATGACAAGTAAGGACAGCATACAAACGGCCGGAAGCACAAAAGTCAAGTTCTGGACTGGAGCTAGCACCAGAGCCCATGGGCCTCCGACCACCGGCACACCACGTCAACAAGAACCTCACGGTCCGAGCCAACGCAAGGCTTCCACTAACCAGCTTTGCTGCTCTTGAGCCTCCGTGATATCTGCCTAACAGCTTTGGAGTCTCCGGTATGTCCTAATGCGCCTTCAGCACAAGAAGAGATGAGTAGGAATGCGTCAACCAGTCAGCCTTACACGTGGCCAAAACACCTGCAGATTGTTCCCGCAAAGTAAGTGCGCCTAAATCATGCAATCGCTTCCGAGACTGGGACGGGACAGAACAGGACACGTTTTACTGTTACAGGGCCCAGCCTTTTGCGATGTTTGTGCCATTAAATTAGGCTCCTGGCAGCCAGCAACGCTGGCTTCAGACGTGGGAAGTGCCTGGCTCAGCGAGCTCAGTCCGACTGGAGTGTTGTGACATATTCGGGACGACTTTCAGCCAAAGTGCGGCAGGACCGAGGCAGCCAATCGCTGCGAACCGGGGGCAAACAGCCTCGTGGGCGACAATGGTAGCGTGGCGTCCTATCGCTGGACCGCAGCCTCGCCAACGGTGGAGGCTGTTCACGGCTTCCTGGCTGACTTACTATCCCTTCACCAGTCACCAGGTATGCTAGCCTTCAGCATGCATCGCTGCCTGGCATTCCGGCAACAAAAGGCACCAGAAGAGGGAGCGCTTGGGTCAAAATCCTTTCCTCCGAGCTGCAGCGCTGCAGAATCGAAGAATGAAAAGCGAATTTTTGTCGAGCTCGAGCTCCCGGCATGCAGGCCTCCCGAGCGGCGGGCGCGCGCACGTCAAGAAGTGTGCTTCGCGACTTCGCTTGGGCGGCATTGAGGAATGGCGACGCTGCCTCCAGGCTTGGTGGCCAACTTGGAAAGCTCGATCATCAAGACCTCGTGGCGGACTCTTCACTTCCACCACATGCAGTGGCAACTGCCAAGTTCTGGGCAAGCAAGAAGGAAGTAAGCCGCGCGTCTGCAGCTCCGATGTACCTGGCAAGTCACGACACCTCCTGCCGATTGCAAGGCAGCTCTCGTCCTCTCCATGGCTGTGAAAGGAAAGCGACGCGACAGCCCCCGCACCGACTCGGACTTAGTCAAGGATGACAAGGTGTTGACGGTCTCAAGTTCCTGAGACCCTAGGGCAGGCACCAAAGCAGCTTTGGCCAGGCACTTGCCCACTGCAGGCAGGCGTTAGGCTTCACCTGGTGTGGTGGGCATGTCTCCTCTCATCCCATCTCAATTTGTCGACGCATGGGCACTCAGGGAGCACTCTTTTCTGATAATCATATTGCGTGGCCGCGCCTCCTCTGCGAAGTCTGCAAGGCAAACTTCGCCTCGCTGCAGCAGCACCTGAAACGGGGCTGCTGTAGTTGGACCCTGAGCTCGCACCCTGGTTCATTCCTGATGAATCCGTGCGCCTCGGGCCAGGTCTGTCGAAGTCCGGCGGGAATGTCTGGGGCCGTGCTCGGCCGCAGGCCTGGCAGCTTGCCGCACGCGAGCATGCAAGCTTGGCCATGACACTTCGATGCACACCAACGAAATCAGGAGCAACCAGTGGAAGTTCTTGAGATTGCAGGATTCTGGCACATGGCCCTTTGCTTGCCTAGCAAGGAAGCAGTCAGCGGGACGGAAAGCCTGAGTGACGCCAGGGTGACGAGAGTTGGCATCACCCCATAAAGCAATCCAGAGTACTCAAGCGAGTGTCGACAGATGTCGACACGCTCCTTGAAACACACGGACCGAAGGTATCCCCTTTTGCGAGCAATATCCATGGAGCTGAGATCGGGGACAGAGAAGCAGGCGTGGCAACCACTTCCTCCCAGTGTTGGGCCCATTTTGTTCAGTTTTCAACTGCAGTGAGAGTACAGCAAAGCTCCTCGCCAGCCTCACCTGACCGGGCGGTGACATGAACAAAGGGAATGAAGTATATTTTGTCGTCTAGCATCCTCTTTGAACAAACAGCCTCGTATAAAGGATTGCGGAACACATGCCAAATAGAACATCAAAAGACACACAAACACACAATATTCGGAAAGAAGCCTGTACGTCTACCGATTATTGACCACTGCAGGTGCATGCGACGCCGGTACGACGCTGGCCAGCAAAGAAAAAGATCAACGCGCATCTTAGGTACCTAAGAACCGTTCCGAGAGCACTCCTGAGGCTCCTAGCAATGCTTTTTGAATCTTCTGCAGCCAACATCCTGCTCACCCAATAGGGCACACCTTTCTTGGGCCAGCGGCTATAACGGTTGCTGTACAACCTACAAGCTACCTCACAAACCGAACAGCCGTCAGACTGTCCAAAGGCGTGGATCTGCCGGATCGACATCTCTGGCCACACAGACCAAGATATGAGCTCTGGTAATTATCTGCCATCTCCGTCGGATCGGAAAAAGCGATTGTTCCGAAGATCCACGCAGTTTTCGGTCTTGACACCGTAACAGAATGCTAAGCATCAATCGCATCCGTCACCATTCCGCGCATGCATCTCCCAAGTCATCGGCCACTTGCTATGCAGTTGTTGCATTTCCGCTTGCTCGCTGGTTTGATTAACTGCGAGCCACTGCAGTTGCTCGCGGTCACTGCAATTCCGCAGGTAGAACCTCTGTCGTTGTAGACTTCATGCATAGCATGATGGACGTCAGCAAGACAAGTACCTCAATGCATGCCTGAGATGCAACGAGCGGCATTTCTTGGTTGCAGTTGCATTAGCTGCTGCAAGTGCCGGGGGCTGGTTCATCGGGCCTGCAATGCCAACATCGCAGAGGTATGGAAAGTCATATCCCGTCACTTCTCTGTTCCCTGGTGCAGCCCTCGATTACCGTCATGCTGCGCACAGTTGGCCTGCAAACTTCTTCTTGATCTCTTTTTGCGGCGGCAAATACGACTTGTTTTGCTGTTTGTCAACGCAGTCCTGGAGCAGGCACTTGCAGAACTGCGGCAGAGTCTCCGACTGTCTGCAGAACACCCAAAAGTCCCAAAAGCTTGCCATGCTCCTTGCATGTCCGCTTGCCGGGCGGCTGACGCAGCTGCTGCTTCGAGAATTCCTTTCCTGCTTCGATGCACCGCTTGCGCTTCGCGGGGTGACCCACGCATTGGCAGCTCACTTCACTGTGCTCCCATAATTCGTGTGGACCGCGGCAGAAGCAGGCAGAGGTTTTCACACAGAACCCATGCGCATTCCAGATAACTCTACATCCCATCCCTAACATGCGACTAGTTCCACCCTTTCACGGCTACAACATACCGGCCCCCCCCAAGTCCGACGCTTGTTTTTTTTGTCTGGCCAGTGCGTGGGGACACTTCTGATCTTGATCTTGATTCGCATGTGACTCTTGGCCTGCCCTCTCTCCAGCGCGGGTGTGGGGGACGATACGAAGCGTTTACGATGAATTTATTTGCCCCGGCCTTCTAGATCGCAAACGCAGCATACGGTGGCCGTTGGGAAAGCAAGCGCATTCTCGACCAGTCGCAGTGCGACATCGGGCTTGAAATCTTCCCGATAAGCCAAGTCCCACATGAACTCCTGGACCGGAGCCGAGGCAGTGACTTGGACAGGTTCTTTCTCTGAGGTGGACTTTTCTCGCTGTCCTCGTTGATCTGCTCGAGGGATCTATCCTTGCCCGTAAACGAAAGAAAGGAACATGCCAGGAGCCCAAAACTGAGATGATCTGTGATCTGAATTAGACTTGACAAAACAAACCCCGCGAACAGCAAGTCGTCCAAGAATGTCCAAAAGCCCCCAACTGGGTCCGATAGGCCTTCCATGGCCTTCCAGTCGTTACAAAGTATGGAATAAACTTGTGGAGAGACTGCTACAACCACTGCAAATCCCAGTGCAGTAAAGCATCCACGTAAGGCTCGTCATCGTCATTCTCCATGGTGTCATCTTCCTCCTGACAAGAAGAGCGAGTGTAGGCTAGCGACTGAAGGCTGTCAGTGCAGCAGCAAATAGCTGTCCTCCGACCAGAAGTCATCGCTTCCCTCCTCATCGGCGATCTTCTTGAATTTCGCAATTAGAGAATCAACCATTTCCAGGTCAAGCGGCATCCTCAACTTTTGCTGGGGTTCCCAAGGAGGCCAATGGACGCTGTTACGCTCACATCCGGCCCTTTTTAAAAGGGCGAGGCTGACTCGGAAGATCGCTTTCAGCCATTTTCAGCCGAGGGGCAAAGGATGGCGGTGCCCAGCAGCACAAGTTGACATCAGTGGCACCAGCCTCTGTGGAAACGGAGACCGTGGACGTCCTGTAGCGTTCGAAGCCTCGGCACGTGCGGCGGGCCCAAATGCTAGGTATGGTTTACATATTTTACGGCTGCACCGAAAGCATCCAGGAGCCTTCACTAGCTTCAAAGCAGCCTCGCATACGGCATTCACACGCTGCTTGGAGCACACCTTCAGCAAAGTGAAGGAAAGGTTCGCGGGTTCACGACATGTGTTGTGACTGCATCAGCCAGGACCAGCCACATGCCTCCAGCAGCGGTGTTTCCACTTCGTCGGTACTTCCGATTCCTCGCTCCCAAACCACTCCGCTCTGCCATCTCAATCCTCCGTCCCTTGGCTGACGATCAATCAACATGTCATCCCTAAAGTTAAGCAGCTTGAGGTAGCTGGTAGCTGGCTCTCATATCCTTGCTGAGAGAATCACAAGGCCTCTGTCCTATGTGCTTTACTGTTCCCGTGCGGAGAGGCTGTGACTCTTCCACATAAACTCTCTCCGTCGCCATCCAGCGAGAACCACCCGCAGCGCCACGAAGGGTGACACCTATCCAGTCAAAAACGGATGTCATCGTGAGCGTTCCTCACCTAGACATGTGATGTCTCGTGCAGAACCCTCAAACGCTCTCAGTGATGCTTTTCGGTCCTTTGCCCTTCTCGCTACAGATGTACAGCACTTCCTCGTCGTCCGAGATCTTCCTAGAGGTGTCCAAGGAACTGGGCTCGGAGTTGGGGTCCAGGCATTCCTTCATGCAGCTGATCAGGCTAGACGGCAGGACACAGAAGCGCAGAACAAGAGTCCACAAGAGCCGCGTCCCGCCACTTTGCTTGAGCCAAGACTCGATGAAGTATTTTCGCACAGTGCCATCCTTTTGTTGTGTCCTCTCGACCCACTCTCCCGCCAGGCGGTGTGGCTTACTTCGCTGCAGCTCGAAAAGGCCCTTACGAAACTCGTTCACATTGCGTAAATCGCTCGCGGACATGAGTGCGTCGTCGGGGAAGCGAAATGCCCTCTTCCACATCCACAGCCCGCGAATCTCAAATTCGTTCTGCTGAACTGTCGGCGCTGCCAGGGCCACCATCTCGGCTTCCAGCGGCATGCCGCTGGCCAGAAGCCACATGAAGGCTTTCCGTCCTCCTTTCGTATCAGGCAGCACAGAGGTCCCGCGCATCAGAAACTCTCTCTTGCCTTTCTCCGTGTGGTACTCAGCTCCAGAAGCCACTAAAAAACGCTTTGGCCGACACTTTCCTAACCTCTTTCTCGTGCCCGGCTGCTCTGGATGAATGAGGGAGAATGCAGGTGCTTTCCAGTTCACCCCAACTTCCCGCAAACCATCGCCATTCCGTGCTGGCATGTACCAGTTGTAGCTTCCTGGGTGCTCCGGCGGCACAACAACGACCTCGGAGGTACTTGTTTTGATGGTCGTCTGCTTCCCACGGTATGGCCCACAAATTCGATAGAGCAGCTGGGCATCCGCCGGCATCTCATCGGTCGGCCCGGTTGGGTCGCACCAGAAGCAGACGGTTGTTGCCTCCACTTTGCTGCCAGGTGCATACTCTTCGGTCCATAGGGGCTTCATACATCTCGCAGCAGCGGCGATGGTGTCCACATTGCGGCTCGCCATTCCTCGAGTCGCAAAACCCTTGTCCGGCACTGCCGGCCACCATAAAGCTGCAGCCTCGCTCGCACTTTTCTCTTTGACTGTCTTCCTTTGCATGAAGTCAGGCTGAGGTAACGAACAGGTCTTCTCAACAAAGGTTAAGCCAAAGTCTTGTCAGGTACAAAAACACCACTAATTCAGTTTTCTTATGCCTCCAGGGCACTTGAAGTGCTTGTAAGACTCCCCCAAATCATAAATGCCCGGGCTTTGCCCAACTGCTAGAAACCCAGTTGGTGCCATTGCGAATGTAAGCAGTGCAAGCAGCCGGTCATCCAGAAGAGCAGAGTCCATCTGCAAAGCCTCATGTCAAGCCATCCCAGAGAGCTAAATCTTTAAACACTCACGTCACTAGAGTCACTAGAGCGCTTTCTCGGATTTCAAGAGCAAGAGCTAGGGAGGCAGAAATGCATCTCGACGTTCTGCCTGTCAATGAACTTCCTTCAACAAACCTCTGATTTCATGTGGAGCGGCCCTCCTAACATCGTCTGCGCCGTGACTGCCAGAGCTCCCAGAAGCCACATCGCTGATGGTCTGAAGTCTATCGCGTTGAGGGTCGCTTCTTGGAAGGAATCTCCTAGCAGACGCGAGGGCAGGTTCTTTGACAAGCAACCAGCAGGCAGACACTAAAATATCAGAGTGTACGCAGCTGCAGCAGAGGCTCGACATGGACTGGAGCAGCTCCACAAGCTTGGTGGTGAACTGGGACCAGAGCCGATGATGGACCTCCATGCCGAGGCGCTGCAGGAGGGCATACGGCACTCTTCCCAGTTCACAGTTGCCATCCAGCAGCCATTGGCTACACAGCGAATGTAGAATCAACGGCTCGGAGAGGCGACCTTCATCCAGCTTCCGGCGTGCATCCACGCCTTGTTTCAATTGCTGCAACTCCTTCTCCCAGAGCTCCGTGAGGTGGTTGTAGGGGCTCGCCATCAAGTCACACTGAGGCAACGACAAGGCCGAAGCCAGGATGGCACCGTGCACACCCAAATCACAGACCCAAGCCAAGACC